TGAGGTGGAGATGGCAGGAGAGGAGAGAGTTTGGCGGGGAGTGTATGTTCAGATTGGAGGCTTGGGGTTTGAGGTGTCTGGGGAACACGGGAGCATCTGTTGGAGATATGTGGGAGGCAATGGCTAAACTGAAGGGAATCGTGTGTGACTTCCAAGCTCAATGGGGCAGAAGGGGTTTCTCAGGGCACTCGGAGCCAAGGGTGCTGAGAAGGCATTTGCTGGCTGGGCAGCTTTTCCAGCCTAGTGCGAGACTGGCACTAAATGACCGAGCTCATGCTTGTCAAGCCAGATCTCTCCATATGCACAGACGAGCAGGCAGCCATATTCCAAGAGCTGTTCCTGGGGGTGTATCCAAACCCCTCTGTCCCAGATCTCTGGAAGACATGACAGTGCTTAGTTTGGGCTTCGGTTTAACTGGCTTTTCAAACTTTATGTTAAAGAGATTTAGAAACCTTGGCTCAGTTGGGAGAATGTACTTTTTGGAAGCTACCAGATTGGAAGGCAGGCAGTTAATTCGTTTGCAGGATCAATCATCTGGAGGGAACACATGAAGGGGGCCCTGTGGGGTTTACCCTGATGTTCTCAGGGGAGCCCTGTCCTCCCACTTCCTGAGAAGTTCTGGCCCCTGGCCAGGCACACAGCACTGCCAGTGTGTGAGCAGGACCAGAGCCCAGTCACGGGCTCCCAAGGTCAGTCGGGTGCCCCTTGGCCAGGGTGGGGGGCCGAGAGGCAGAGGTGCTGCTCGCCGCGTGGTGTCAATTCGCTACTAGTTCAAGCGCACATCTTCCACGCCTATTTCCTCGTTTGTACAATGGGTATTGTGCTTTCTTCCCTACCAGCTGGTAAAGACTCAGCGAAATAAGCACAGATGTAAAAGCACCTAGTGGCCTGCCCACCTTATTAGACACGGGGAGCAAAGCAGTTTCCATGGAGGGGCCACCTCCGCTGATTTCCCTGAAGAAGGGGTCAAGGCAAGATGTTCTGGCTGAGGGGTGAGTGGAGGACACTGCTTCTTCACCCCTCCACACCTCCAGAGAGGAAGGAATGTCCACTCCCCTTCCCAGGAGAGAAAAACACGGGGGGTGGGGATCCTTAGCTTCTCTCTGAACCCCCTTGCTCACTCCTGCTAGACAGAGAGTGCTTCCCTCGGGGTTGGGGAGAAGAACTGACCATGCTCCGGGTTCCACGCACCCTCGCGGCGCCCTCCTGCGGAGCAGCCCGTCCACAGGCCCCGCTGGGTGCTGCCTGCAATCGTCCCCTTCTCCTGTGCGGGGTAGCTCCGTCTTTTTAATTCTGAAGTGAAGTTTTAGCAAGCCCATCTGGCCTCAGGTCTAAAACAGTATTCTCCTTTCAGCCTTATCAGTAAAAAAGCTGGCATTTTTATCTCATTTGACTATCTCCTGGGCCTTATTTCTCAACTATTCCGAACTTGGGAGGGGAAAAAAAAGAGTTATTTAAAGCCTCTCTAAACCTAAATACTTTCCAAGGTAGGAACAGGCATTCTCAAGTTATTTGAGATTTTTGAACGCTTTAAAGAAACTGTCCAGGCTAAGGATGCAGAGGCTCCCTAAAAATCCATTTACTTTGCTCTTGCCTGGAACCATCCACAGGGCTCATCAGGAACGCTGAGTGGTGATAAGTGTGCCTGCTTTAGAAAACAAATGAACTGTTCGTGAGTTCAGTCTGTTGACAAAATATTTTTTAATTACAGGGCCCAACTTGGACTGCGGTGAGTGGTCCTGGGGGTGAAGAGGTGGCCTCTCTGGGGCCCTGAGTGCCCCGAGCTCACCTCACTTCTGTTCTCATCACTCTGGGTTGGACTGTCCATTTGCTAGTCCATCTCCCTCATTACACCCCATAAGGACTTTTTTTTTTTTTTTAAACACATGGTAGATCTCAGTACATGGATGAACAGATGCATAATTAAATGGAGGGATGGTCATAGCCTCAAAGGAGGAAGCTGCAGTGAGGCCGAGAGGCAGGAGAGCACCTTCTCTCCCCTGGCAGAGGCAGCTCTGGCCAGCGCCCAGCACGGTTGCGTCTGAGGGCTCCACACAGGCCTCCTCCGGCTCTCTGCCACCCCACCCTGTGTCCACGCGAAGGTCCCCTGGCTGGCTACATGGAGTACTCCTGGAATGTAATAACCACCTCAACAGTATTCTGTTCCCGCTGGAAAGCTAAGTGTTCTTAAAGAATGGGATCCACAGAAATGCAAACCCAAGGCAAAATCTTTCTGAGGTTAGCGTCACTGTCTGGCTAGTTCAAATGATTTTGCGGGGACCCACTGGCTTTAACAGACATCAAACAGCTGAAATCCCTGCTTGGTGAGGGAGCTGGAGTGGGCTCTGTAGTTGGGCTGTCCTAGGTTTTTTTGTGCTGGCACTGTGGCCCTGGCCAGGTCCCTTCAGGTCCCTGGGCTCTAGCTCCGGGTCTCTAAAATGTGGCTAATGGCCCCTTCCTCAAAAGGCTAAGGCAGAGATGACATGCTTCCCCAAAACAGAATGCATACTGTTGGGGCCACATGAGTGGTGCAGGCGATGTATGGACTGACACTTAAAAAGATTTTTTTGATATGCCTTAGGAAAAAAACGGGACTAGGACGTCAGACCTGTGATTCTGTCAACGTCATTACTTAAGATGAGGCTAAAGCTGGTACGGATGTCAGGTCTGAGTCTATTTAAAGAAAAACAGCAAGGAAAAGAATAGCACAGATGGTAGGAGGGTGTGGCAAAAATTTTTTGAAATGGAACTCAAAAGACTGTTCTTTGAGGAGAAAAGAAAGTCCCTAAAACTTATCCTTGCCAGTAGTAGGTGCTCTAGAAACACTGCTGGTTCTGGTCACAGACCCAGCAAACCGGGCAGGCGCCAGGGAAAAGCACCAAAGGACAACCCCGCACGGGGACGAAGCCGGAAAGAGTTAAAAGAAAGGGGTCTGCGGTTTCCCTGGCCCATCCCCCCTGCAGCTAATCTGTCACCTAATGAAGAAGCGGCCGGCACAAGTGAGCTAGCTGGCAGTTCACTTACAGCAAACTGATTAAGAATGTTCAACCAACAGCAGACTGTAGACCTTTCCAGAGAAAATAAATAGAGTGTAGACTGTATGCAAATGTGTTTGTCACTTTGACAGCACGTCTCAATTAAGGCATCTTGCGGCTGTGGGTAGGCTCTGCGGTTGCAGCTGTGAGGGAGAGCCCGCTGCATGGCTGATACTTGGGGCTTGACCTTAATCCGCATGCACGCATTAAAAAAAAAAAATCCTGCCTTCCTGTACACTTGCATAATGCTCGCAGCCACGTGAGGGAAGTGACAAACGGGGAGAAAAAGCCACTTTCATCCTCTCCAGTTTACAGACCTGTGAAGGCACAGACAGCTCTTATTTCAACAGAGTTTGGGGTGGCTTTTTTAATTGTTTATCCCCCACCCGCACACACACACTCTTATTCTGCATTTAGCTGGGAATGACATTAAAGCATCTCTGCTTCTTGCTGAAATGGAAAGAAGGTTTTTCTCCATTTCAAACAGGGCCTCCTTTTTTGTGTTTCGAAAATGGAATGTTTAACACCATGAAATCCCTCTCCCCCGCCCCCTCTTTCTCTGTAATGGGCTTCAAACTCCAGCGAGGGGCTCTTTTCATGGGAAGGTTAGTGTGTGCAGGAATGAGGACAAAGGAAAGCAGGAAGCTGGCTCTGGAATGCCATGCTGGTTACAACGGGGGCTGTGCTTTCAGCAAACTCCGCCAGGAAACTGGGGTGCAGATTTCTCCAACAGGGCCTGAGCCCCAGAGGAGGCAGCTCTTCAGGGGTGGAAACACACCACCAGCGGAAGAGAAGCATTAACCAAGTGAGCCCTGCCCCGAGAATGCTCCTTTCTCGCACTACATTTCAATTTTTATAACGTCCTTTTTAAGTGTAAAATCCGAAAAAGGGACGAACCTCCCCAAGTTTAAGATGTAGTAATGTATGATCTGAAAATACTGATTACAGAAGAAGATTCTTAAGTCAACAAACTCACCCCTTACCATAATAACCCAGAGCAACCATTTCATTAATTCTCTTCATTTTTAAAGAGCTCAATGCCGGTACACAGTAGGCACTTGATAAATGTCTGTTAAAAACAGGGCATTTAAAATGTATGTTTCTAGAGCCTTTATGTGATGAAAAAGCAATCGTATTTAAGATAAAATCATAAAGATGATTTTAATGATGCTCCATCTAATAAATGGCTCAAGAATCAAGTGATTTAAAAATAAGTAACCTTGCAAATTGTTGTCACAGTCACATCTTGCTGAGAACCATTTTTCACAAACTAAATAATTATGACTTTTGCTCATCAAGAGAGTCAATTCAAGAGAAACGGGAGAGTGTACAATCTTCTTCAGCTAAAAATACAACCACTGCATGGAAATAGATTTAAAAATTCAGTTTCTATACAGAATACGATGTTTTACTTAAGGGGGAAAAAAAATCAAACGAATAGACAATTTTTCAAATGCTCGGGTCATCAAAAATAGTTGGTGAAAGAATCGGATCTCTGGAATAGTAGCGCGGGTGTTTACTCTGAGAAGCACGACTCCCGATATTGATTTTCAGGAAGTACATTAATAAAGAACTCCTAATTGATTTTTTTTTAAGACTTCGCTTGTTGCCTTTTATTTGAAGGTGCAAAGAAGGGCCTGGGATGCTAAGTGTTCTAATGAGATGCTTAGCTAACGGAGGCGCCTTCAGCGGAGTGCCTTGGAGTGGGGGAGGCGGCAGCCGCATTTAATGACTTCATTCAAGAGCTGAGCTCGTTTATGACCAGAGCCATGCTGGCTCCTCAAAATTTTTGAAAAATTTCCCTTCAAACCACATTTGTACCAAATAAACATTCAAAGATGTGCAAAGCTCCATGGAGTGGTTTTGCCAAAGAGAGCGGAAACGAAAAGCCTGTCTGCCGCAGTGCTCTAGCTTCTGCTAAAAAAAAAAACAAAACAAGACCAGTCCAAGGGCCAGGGTACATACCTGTCCGAAGTGGACTGTGATTGGCCTCCGGTCTTCTCGGAGCTTCGGGTCCTTGGCCTCTACCAGTGGGGACGGCACAGTCTTTGGCAGCTGCTCTTCCATGGTGGGGGCACAGCCATTCTCGGTGATGTCCTGCGGGGAGAAGCCAGTCTGGGTTGGTGTTGGGGTCACGCTACCTGCCATGAGCAGGTGCCCCCTCGCACCCCACAGCTCAGGGGCCTGCCACGGAACACTCCCTCTGGGATGTTCAGAGCCTCTCCTCCTGCTGGAGATGGAGGAAGCAGAAGGGTAACTTGGCTCTTTGACTTTTAAGGACATGAGAAACCAAAATCATACACGTTAAATTACAAAGACAACATAATAATTCATAATAGCGGGGTGGGGGGAATTTTTTTGTCCTACTACCTTACACAGCTATTTCCATTTTTACATATTCACTTTGTCCATATGCATTTAAAAATTACTTGCAATCACAGCTCATGGATAATTTTACATTCTATTTTTTCCCGCTATAAGCATCTCCATGGTGCTATAGTCATTTTAATGATAATTTTAATAGATGCTAATATTTCATTGAGTGGATATATAATAATTTAATAAACCACTCTACTACTATTGGGCATTTAGATTATTCCTTATTTCTTCTTTTTTTTTTTTTACTTCCTAAATACCATAGTGATAAACATTGCAGTTTTTCTTTCTTTTGGATTATTTCTTTTATAGAAATCCCTAGGAATGAAATTACTAGGTCAAGAGATATAAACACCTTAAGCCTTTTTATTCATTCCACCAAATTGCCTTCCAATTTACACCAACCACTGACAATGGGTGAGTTATCAGTTTCATAGTACTTGTTAGCCTTATCATTTTAAAAATGTATTGCTAATTTAAGAGGTGCAAAATTAGACCTCATTGTTGTTTTAATTTGCATACTTTGTTATTTGTGAGTGTGGACACTTTCTCCACGCTTGCTTACTGATGACATTAGTGTCTGTGAAAACGAGGTGTTTGTGCCCCCCCCCACCCCGCCCCCTTTCCTAGCCTTACCTAGTCTTTCTGGCAGGGAATGAGGAGACCCAAGTCTGAGTTCGGATTTTATGACTTGGAGAACATTTAGGGAACCAAAGTAATATATTGAAATTCAGAAATTTACATTTAATTTGAGCTTCTTTTGAATGAAGTCAAAGTATAAAGAAAAAAAAAAACTCCAACGTGCAAAAGGCAGGTAATGCTTCCTTTGGTTCTTTTGAGATGGGGATGGGTGCCCACTTGTGCTGTATGGACCACATGTTTTACTCAAGTTGTGAAAGTTGCTTAGACCTTCATTGGAGCAAGGCAGAGAATAAATGTACAAATGAAAAACATTTAAATAATAATTTTTTTTAACCAAGTAAAAATACTCCCAGTCAGAATGAAATAATAAAGAAAAATTTGAATTCTTTTCATTGCAAAACAAGTCTTATTTTGGTCAACAAGACACACACCTTTAGTACTCATTAAATTCTGCACACAAAAGACTTGACAACGGGTTGCTTTTAACTTAGCCAAATAAAGAGAATGGTGGCAAATAGAGGAAAGTGGTCCCTTATTGGATAATAATGCATTAAAGAAGAAACACACGGAACATTTGTGAATCTCTGCCTCCTTGTCTGTAAAATGGGGATATGGTAGCTGTGAGGAGTAAAGGAAATAAAGTGATATAAGTGTGTCTAGAACATTATGATCCAATAATGTACTATGTACAGCACTCAATAATAACGGAATACCTACTAATAAAGGTATAAACTTTATTATAATAAACTGTAGGGATCTTGCTACATTCAACCCCACACACCCAGCTGCAGCCTCTAGCCCTGCTTGGTAACAACACAGGGAGGTGATGGCCTCTTGATTTCGCAGGGAGGGCCTGCAGTAAGTGGCCCCCAAGTCTTAGCCTGCGTGATGAGAGGCTGCCGACAGCCAATTAGAAATGGCTCTTTTAGAAAAGGGGCTGCCCTAAGGTGCTCAGGTCAAGTGGAACAAAGAAGGGGAGGGGCTCCATCTGCGCCAGAAAGTAACAAAGGGCAAAAGGGTCACTCTGGATCCAGGTGGGGTTACTGAGAAGACAGACACAAAGGTTGAGTAAAGCCAAACAGTAAAAAAAAAAAAAAAGTAAAAAAAGAAGGGAAAAAAAAGAAAGAAAAAAAAAAGAATCCATTTTTAGTCCACGAAAAATATTGCATGTGTGTGTGAGTGACGGGCTGAAAAAAAATATAAAGAAATGGAGCAGTAAGGTTACATGGTGAGAAAATATTGATAGTAATAAAAACTATAAGATGATAGCTATTTTAAAAAAATGTGTGTGGTGGTTTTGGGAAAGGTGTCTTAGTTTAAGCTTATAAGTAAACACTGTCTTGTACCTATTTTTTTTTATTTTTACAACCGGGAGACCACCACCTGCTTGGTGAACTTCAAAGCTACAGGGAGAATGAATTAAAGGAGATGAAACACGAGGGAGCTTGGAAAACGTTACAGTCCTGTGCAAACTGAACTGACAGCTCGTATCCCCTGCAAAATGGAAAAAGCACAGTCTAAAAAGAGCTTCCCTTGGGCTGTGCTGAGCACCTACTACTGGCAGGCACTTTTCCAGACCCTTGACCTTCACGATCACAGTTTCCACAGCAACCACAAGGTAAACAGGATTATCGCTCTTTTATAGGTGAGGAAACAAGGCTCAAAGGGGGCAACTCACCCAAAGCCACACAGCTAGAAAGTGGAGGAACCAAGAGCTCTGTGGTTTCTGGCATTTATACCAATATCGACCCATGACGGCAGCACATGTGAAGGCATTCTGAGTTGAGGAGGTGCTCGACGGACCAGCGGGTGTGATCTCCCCCTTCTGTTACAGACCCTCTACTGCCACCCCTTCTGCTCTCTTTGCACGTACTTCTTATCCCTAAAGAATGTCAATTCCTTGGGGTTTGGGTTCTCTGCCTGAGAGCCTTGAATATATAGTACACGCTCTCCGATCAATCTTTGTAAACGGAGCTGAACACTTGGAAGGCAAATGTGTCCGATATACAAATGTGCTTGTGCATCAAAAAACAGTGCTGCACATTAATTTTCTTCAGTTAGAAGATCCCAAAGTGCAAAAGACTTCTCACAAAGTCCCGTGGCTCGCCCTGTCAGTTTATTCACTTCTTCACTATTTCCTACAGCTGGGGAAGGACAACTGCTTCCTCCCAGAGAGAGCAGAGTGGGAGGAGCCCTAGTCAAGAAAGAAATAGGGCCAACTCACATCCTCTACTGTATCTACTAGCAGAGATCTCAGACACAGTAGAGATCCTGTAATTAAAGAAACTGTGGTCTCAGAATGAGCTGAGGAGCTGCCAGCAAAGGGTTTGGGAACATAGGCACTCTCATACCCTTCTGGAGGGAATACAAATTGGCAATTTATATCAAAACCCTAAAAGAGGTGTATGCCCTTCGGCCCATTAATTACATTCCTAGAAATTTATCCTAATGAAATAATTAAGAATTCCTGCAATGTTTTACCTATGAGAATACCTGGCCTAGAAAAAAACAGGACCCAACTTAAGTATCCAAGAAAGGGACTGATTAATGTATATATGCCCATCAGATAAAATTTTCCGTAGCCACTTAAAACAATGACAGGCAGAAGAAACATTTAGTGGTCTGGGAAATACTGAGAATACAGTAAGTGAAAATGCAGGTTATAAAACAAGATCATTTTCTTTTTGCTTGTCTGATTTGTTGAATTGTCTCCAATAAACATGTTTTTTGTTTGTAAACAGAAAAAAAAAAAGACTGTCGAAATGTCATTTTGAAAATGCAAAACCAAGAAGCTGACAGGAGGGGTAAATCTGTTCCTTCCCGAAGGGTCACATAGGAGGAAGGCACTAGACAGAGCTGCGGATGAGAGGCCACCACAGAGTGACAAATCTCTTACCAGGAGCCCTGGGGCCCAACCAGTTCCCATCTCTTGGTAAAGTAAAGGAGTCAGAAAATAATTCAGTTCCCATCACTTTTCCTAAGAGTTTGCTGGAATCGAAAATCATGACTGGGGTCTACCCTCCACCTGTCTGTGGAGGAGGTAGGGACAGCATGCAGTATGCACTGGACAGAGTACCTCTGAGAAGTCAGGAGGCAGAAACCCAGGGGAGGAAGGGGGCTGAGTGGCCTTGGGTAGGAGCTGGGGAGGGGGCTGGACCCGGAAGGAGCTGAGGATATGACTTCATGAGGCAGAGATGCAGGTACAGCCTTCCTGGCTGGGGGTATGTAGACAGCACCCCCTGGTTAAGGAAGGGCAAGTGGCTCAGCAGCTGGGACATTCCAAGAACCCCCCTGGCTGAGGTGGAGGAAGGTTTGAAAGGTCTGAAAGGTTTTAATCAAGAGAGTGCCTCAGTCAGTGCTGCGTTCTAGAAAAATTGCTGGTGGCCGTGTGGATGACCAAAAGGGAGGTGATCCCATGCCAGCCATGCTCTCAGGGTGTGTACATGTGGGCGTCTGGAGAGACTGGCTGCTCTGGATGTGGGATATGAGGAAATGAACAGGATGGAAATTCCCATTTAATGAGTGGCTCCTAGATGTTGCTGTTGAAAGCCATTACCTCTTCTAATCCGTACAACAATCCAGTAAAAGTCGATCCTTCTCCTAGTTACATGAGGATAAAAACCAGGTTCAGAGAGGTCTACTAACTTACTCAAGGTCACACAGTTAATATCCTACACAACCAACCAGCCCTAAACCCAGCTTATCTACCTCAGAAGCCCAAATACCACACCACGGCGTCAGGGGTTCAAAGGCCCCGGTGGGCATGAGGCAGAGCCCTTCATGTCTCTGACTGAGATTGCTGGTCTCCCATTTTCAGATTCGTGCAGCGCCCTTCTCTTGCAGTCTACTTCACACCACAGCGAATGCAAATTAAAATATGAATATTGATATCAAAACAATATCCAAAGTTGGAATTTCTGTGATTGAGGCTGCAGCGTATTTTAATGTGGAGACAGGGAGCTGACAGTTGTGTGATAAGGTGTGAAAATGTCTGTTCTACGAGAGTCTACCTAGATCTCCCTGCCCCACACATGCTTACATGCTTCCTTCCTTCAATACACTCAGAAATGTTTGGCCAGAGACTCAAGGCTTCGCTGACCTAACTGTGAATTTGCTCCTCTCCATCACAAACACATCGACAAGCTCGATTTATCTTTCCAGGATCAAAGATTTAGAAACTTTCAAAAGGGCTGTGAAATGGGCCCATTTGATTCAATCATTCTGATACTGAAGGAAAAAAAAGATCGTTTTTCAGGGGTTTCCCAATGGACGAAAAAATGACATCCTTACGTGAGTGTCTTAATGTTCCCTGCAGGTGAGAAGGAGCACGTGTGTGCCCATCGTCTTTCAAACAGGGCCCAGGGATGCCAGCCTCGCACTGTGTGGCCAGAGAATGCGGTGTGCTGACAGTCAGGAGCCCAGCCATGCAGCATTCTCCTGCACGCCAGGTCCGGCGGGGAGACGCTCTGGAGGAGAGCACCACATTCTCCCTTTAGGAAGCGGCAGCTGGGTAGCATCTTGGCCGTTGCTTCTTCTTCCTAATTTTGAGCAACTCAGACTTCAAAGGAGGCCAAGCTACAGAAGAACTTGACCACCTTGCTGCATTTACCTAGAGAAATATGTTATCCATCCTTCTTTTTTTGTTGTTGGGCTGAAGCAGAGCAGGTATGGAATAAAGCCACACTATAGTATCTATTAACAATTATTTGCCAATGGTCACACAGATACCCTGAAAGCTCCTCTTTCAGATGCTTTGAAAATCTGCAGCACAAATGAACAAGGGATGGAAAAGGGGCCCTGCTCAGTCATATTAGAGATGGACCCTCCACGCACCATGGTGACCTCTCCGCAGGTCGGCCCCACATTTTCTATTTGCAATTCAAACCCAAGGCGAGAGTGCAGAGGGCAAGACTGGGTTCTTGATTATATCTGCGAGGTCACCATCACTATGCAGAGTTAGAGGAGGCCAGGTGGCAGCCCAGTACATTTGAAAATTGGATCTTTGTTGGGAACTGCCTCAATTTCATAGCAGAAACCAAACTTGAGATGTCTGCATTAGACACATCTGGGGAGCCACACAGATATGTTGCCATGTGAAGGGGAGGGGGCAGAGGAGAGGGGAACAAAAAAGCCAAGGAAATATTTTCTACTGCAGTGAGAGAGGTCAGATGGAGCCAAATCCTAAATTAGCTCAAGAAAGGGAGCAGGAGAGCCAAGTCCTGCCTGCACTGAACAATGCTAGAGTTTCAATTACAAAATAGCTCTTCTAAGAACAACCGCAAAATATCAAGTCTATAGAAATCTGTAAGACCGAAGGGGGGGAAAGTGAAAATTGAAAAAGGTGCACTAATAGATCTGTCAACAGTCCGATGGTGACAAGCCACATTTCTATAAAATGCCTTCACCATTGTGTCACCTGAAATGTACTGACACTTTCTATAGAACATTATCTCCTGAAGCTGTTCTTGAAAAGACTGGCAGGGGGAAGAGGAGAAGGGGAGGGAAAAAAAACCCGCTTTAGACACTATCAAGGAAAGGAAGGGGAGGTGGTGTGGAAGGAGGGTGATCTAGATTGTTTAAGTGAACCTTTGAACCACAACATCAAAAAACTGGGGCTTAACTGGTTATTTGCAGAAATGTTACGTATCAGGAAAAGGGGATTTTCGTCAGGCCCAAGGCTTCCACGTACCGGGAGGGAGGCGATGGCCTGCAGAGAGCAGATCCGACCAATGAGGAGCATCTGTCCTCTGCCTGAGGAGGGACCCCTTTCTTTACTTACTTCAAGGAGTATTCTAACACCAGCTGAGCCTACGATCAGGTCATCAAGGAGGGAAAATTTGGTGAGAGAAATACCCCTCCCTGCCACTCTGTATTTTATCCAACTCAGTTCCATGCGACTGGGATAGGAGATAAAAAAGTATGGATCACACTTAGCATCCAAGGAAAGAATTCCACCTCTCAGCCTCTGGCAGGGCACAACAGACCACAGGTAGGGTCTACGTGGATTTACAGGACAGGATTTTTATTTCGGGACTTGAATCTCAGCTGTTAGAAATTCACTCTCAGCTGAAACTAGGAATTTAAGTGCTTAGTCGTAACAAATTATCTTGCAATTAAAAGAAAGGAATCAATTCCTTGGACCATTTCGAGTTAACGAGAGGTCCTTTCTGACTTCATAAAATTAAAACTGCTTTCAAATTTTAAAAAACTGCTGAGATAGACGAAGGCCCTTGTTAGAGTTGCACATTTTGGGGGTGTGGGATAATGAAGTAAGTGCTCCCAAACATGTTTTGGAAAGCAAACACTTGTCTCAGGAAGGCAGCACGAAACGCTGTCATGGTAAGCGCATGGACACTGGAAATGGATGGGTCTGGAACCGGATCCGGGTTCCGTAGGCTCCAACAGTGTGACCTTGGGCAAATTCCTTCACCTCTGAATCATAGTCTAGGCTCTCTACACATGAAATGGGAATCATACCCTCCCAGGGTTGTTCTAAGGCTTAAATGTGAAAGCTCCCAGCCTGGACCATCCTCAGTAAGTGGTTATCGAAGAGTGGTAACTGATAATGATGACATTCGTCATCACGTAAAAACGCCCTCTGATGTATTAACCTCCCTGTACAAGGCTAGAGAATCAGGCAGGGGACTCTTGGCCAGCATGGAGCCTGTAGGATTTCGTACCATTTTACTGATGGTCCAAGGAGGCAAATCGGAGTCCTGCTGCCCAAGAGTCTCAAACAGGAACTGCTGGGCTCCTCTTGGTTAGGCCAGCACGTGAGGAGAGCCCGCAGCGTCCTCCTGAAACCCACCCTTTGTGTGTCCTGTATCTGCACGGTGGCCACGTGCATGCCCGAACCCCGGAGGTCATTTCCCTGGCGATGCTTCTTGATTTTGGTTACCAGCTGCCCCGGGGTAGAGGTCAGCTGTGGGAAGGAGAGGTGCCCAGAGGGGTAGGCTGAGCCAATTTCTAAGAGCCCTGTGAACCCCAGGCCCGGTGGGGTGGGCAAGGGGCAGACTGATAGTGGTAACTCTGAACTTGCTTGCCTTTGTGGGTTTAAGCCAGTCTTAATGTTATTTGAAGACAGTTTCTGTCTGTGAATATTTATAACAGTGTGAAAACTCCCGGACAGCTGGTAATGCATTTTGAAGTGTGCTAACAACACTGTATCAAACAGCCCTCTATTGATCACATCATACTTTTTTATGGCCACCCATTTCATATACGGTGCTTATACATTTTGAATAAGAACTTCAAGTACCTTTTGCTTCAAGCGGTTTTTCACCTCTTTTATTCCCATTTTTGCGTGATCTTTTGCCTGCATGAAAAATTAATTTAAGTTAAGATTCCCTGTTTCCAGCAGGGACTATGCTTGATTTCAATCCGTCGCGAATCACCTTCTCTGATTACTAGAAAAAAGAAGGAAAAATGGGATCATCAAGTCGAAAACATAACGGCTACAAAAACAAATACAATGTTAAGAGGTTAAAAAAATCCCTTAAAGAGGCGACAGAGATTTTATTTTCTGCATTTTGATGGCCCTAAGTTTTTTTTTCTCTCTCCCCCCTTTGGAAGGCCTTCTTCTGCTCTCTGTAATTATTTATCTCAGCAGCCTGGTGACAGCTACCAGTAAGTGTAGATGGAACGGCAGCTTTTGAGGCTGCAAAAATCTGAATATCTGTTACATTTCACTGGGGCAGGGCCTCAGGACCAATTTTCTGCCGGGGCTGACTGGCCTGAGCAGACACATCGCTGGGTTCCCCTGGTGCCGTTTCTTAAATCCCATGTCGCCACACACCCTGGCTTTTATTTTCCGTCATTTTAGACCTGTGTGGTTCTGTTGGCAGCCACCTGCCCGGTTAAAATAACTACAACTTAAGCACAGAAAGGACTAACAAAATTAAAAATGGAAATAAAACAAAACCACCCAAGTGGCTCACAGTCAAATTAGCAAGCAAGAGAAACCATGAGGAAAAAAAAATACTTGAGGCTTGTAAGAGATGGAACATCGGATCGGGAGTGGCCGTGTTCTCCTATTTTCTCTCTGCTGTGGGCATGAGTCTCACAGACAATGCATGTCCTATAGGGCAGTGGTGAGAGAGATGATGAAGAATTTGGGACAACAGTTAGGGAGCGTGTCCCACCATGAACACTTTTTAGTAACCAGCAAAGGAGCTGCTTCATTTTGACATGATAATGGGGATCCCCGTAGGAAAGGTTTTACCAGAACGCCCGGTTGACCACGCCTCCGGGTCTCAGGGACACAAGCTCGGATCAGCCAGCATTTTAGCCACCTGGTCTACATTTTATTAAAAGCTAAAACCCGTGGCTTCCCATGTCTTGATTGCAGCAACTGTGAGCAGAAACAGTTTAACATGAAAAACATCACTGACCTGGTCACCAAATAATCAACACTAAGTAATTCTAAGAGCCGTGGAAGCTTTAGGAAACAGCACAGCAGCCCCTGAATCCTCTCTGCAGTACAGGGCCAGCTAGGTTGAAGAGTTTCATCATGCCGAGGGACAGATCTGTTCCGATCCTGAGACCAAGACCAGTACTCACAAATTTATAGACAGTCTTCATAGCCGGGTTCGCTTTCGTTTTTACAGTGTTCAGAATTGCTCCGCTTCCTTTCTGTAACAGAAACGTCAATTAGCGATGGGGACTCAAGACAGAGTGGGCCAACACCAACAAAAACCTCTCCTCTTTAAACAAGTTAAGCAACATTCCAAGAGTGTGTAATTTAATTAGAGAAACAGGCCTAGATGGTAACCGGTCCCGGGCAATTAGTTATGGCTGCGGCAGAATCGCAATGGGTGGGTACTGGGAGTGGGGTGAGGACGAGGATAGTGATAACTAGCTGCAGGGGGACTCAGTGTTTTGCTTGGCACCTGTCCGCTGGCTGGAAGAAAAGCTCTTCACAGGCTCTCTGAGGCACGGTTTCCCCATAGTAATCTATGGCTTCTCAAGAAATTCTAGTTTATTTAGCTACCCTCGGTCACCTGCCTTCCTTTCCTCACCTTGGTTTTCTGTGTTGTTATTTTTAATCACTCTGGTAGGCTGCCTTCCTTAACATCGATATCTTGAGGGAAGGAAAGAACGAGTAGCCATCAATGTGAATCATGGCTTTCGTACAAATCCAACATACCAATTTCTTGGTTCAGTTTCTTTGGAAGAACAGAGAAGAGGAGGAGGGTACGAACGGATACGAAGTGCACAGGCTCTAGACATTTTGTGAGGGCTCACTGCGGAGACACCCTGTGTTAGCCGTGGAGGGTACTGAGTCACAGGAAGGCCGGCCTTCACCCTCAAGGGCCTCCAGTCTGGGGGGCGCCCCAGCTGCAGCCGAAGGTCGGGACAGCTGCACTGGCTGTGCGCACAAGGTGTGTCCACGGTCAGAGAAGGCGTTAGAGGATGAAGAGTTCATGTGGGGTACAGGAAGCGTAAGGACATTCCAGGGCTAGAGAATTGCACATTAAAGAAGTGCAGACGCTGGGCAGGCCTGGTGTGTTCCTAGCAAGTGGTCAACGTATCACGGGAGGACTGGGGCTGAGGCCAGATGGGGCCAGCTTTTTTTTTTTTTTTTTT